CAACAAAAACGAAAGAAAAATCAAGATTAAGGTCAGTAATTGTCCCGAAGCAGTAACGTTGAGATCCAGTTTCTTTGCCGACATTGAAGATAGAGTGCATTTCGTGTCTTTAGAGAAAACCTCAATTGAAAGTTATGCCTATGGTCTTATTCTCTCGCTTTTTCTCTTGGGTATTTAGAATTGTACTATTATTACTACAGAAAGGCACGCAGTAAGGTTTTTTTTTAATTTGTATAAGTTTATCTCCAGCGACATTATCACCTGGAACAAAAGAAACGAAAGGCAATGCATTCAATAACTACGTCCACAAAGTTCACGCGGTAGGTCTGCTGGTCCTGACAGCATCAATTAAAAGAACTCACGCACGCGCAGAATAGGATTCAGGGGGCCTAATTAGGAGATCAAGAGCAACACAACTTGGAATGACGCATCAAGAACTGGGCTTGGGATGTCAACACGCCGTCGAAGACCGCTAATAATGTTTGTGCCCGCTTCCGTGTGACATACAAAAAAATGCATGACAACCAGTGTCTGTGCAACCACCACACGATCCTGGAAAAGAAACACTTCGTCAATATGAATAAAACCATTGGCATTAAATCGGAGAGTGTATTTCTGTAAGGAAACGTATTTATGACAATCTTTTTAACATAGGCACGTAAAACATTTTGCCAGTTAGATACGTTGTTATAACATCGATACAATATTTGTACTCTCATCAAATTGTACCATGGTGATACCTTTATTGTTGGTAAACACATTACAATTCGCAGAATTCAGATGATAGAGCATTTCATGTCAGCAATTATCCTTTTATGGAATGAGCTGAACGCTACCAAGAAAATGCTTGGTTTCTTAATTAGAATAAATGTCAGACTTGATAGGCTGGATGCGTCTGTGAGGCATTTTTGTTAATAGACTAATGATCACTATATCGAAATACTCACTTATCGCTGGAAGATGTAAACAATATTCTTACATAACAAAATACAGGTTTCGTTCGATAAATAATGTATTTTTAAAATGTATTGATCCTGTTAGTACCGAATACAGTTTGGTTGGCATGATTTGTCAAAACAACTTTGCCAATTTTGTTAGTTAACTAGAAACAAAAAATCGATGCTGTTCTATTAAAGAAGATTGTACGCTATATTCTAAAGCGTTTTCGTGATGTACATTTGAATTTCAGTATTCAACTTTCTACAGTTATAAAATCATTTTTCCCCAACGTCTTAATAGCATTATATATTCACGCCATGCCTGTCATCGTCTAGCCATTTGGGCTGTACCGATAATTATGTAAAACCAAGTATTCATTTACATAATGTGATTCTGATAAAGATTAATTTACAAAAATATGCTAACGAATTTCATTAAAAATTATGAAAATCGATATTTAATTTGTGATGAACCAGATTCATATCCTAACGAAAGCCGAGTACACAATGCGATCTTAATTTCTGTGTTTTGTATCCTGAAATAAAATACAGAAGTTGAGTACATAATGTGTTCTACTTAATTTCTGTATCTTTTTCTGAAATAAATTTCGATTTTTTTTCTCACATCAAAAAAAGGTGAAATTAAGATTTTGTTGGGAAATAATTGCATCTAGAATATACAGCTACTGACCTTCGTCGTCAGCGCCATGGTAAACCAATCAAAGATGGTCATATGAGACTTGCTTTGTCGTCTGAAATTCTTAGTAAATAATAAACATATAATCAGAATGCGACTTTCATAAACATTGTAATAATTTTCTAATAGACTTCAGCATCTGGTAAACGTTTAGTCAGTCTAAATTAGGAAACTTCTTAATCTCTTGTGTATAACGGCAGTATATTGAAGAAAATAACAACAACAAAACTCATCCTTTATCTCCTTCTATTTCAGGGAACACAAATTAACAAGAGGTGGCGTTAATGGATATTTCTGTTGTGTTATCAACATGAAGTCGCTTATTGTGCTTTATTTTTTATCGATAGGGATACACTTACAGGCATAGGTGAGATTACAACTAAAACCAAACTAAAGTTGGACATATATTTTCCTACTGTTGATTTTGATAACGAACGAATAACTAACAGCATTCTCATGCACACGATTTGTCAGTTTCCTTACAAATCATCCCTGAAACCTCATTCCTGTTTATATTTTAGAAGAAGTCATAACCGCAAGTAAAGAATCTAATTCGAGTCAAACAATCTGTTTTTGTTTTTCTTTTTAAGTTTTTAAATCGTTTTCAATTTTTTCAAAATATTTCTATTTTAAGTGGAAAAATCAAACAGAATATTTAATTGTCAGAATTAATGGACATGAGCATAAAAGGAAACTGGGGACTGGTATTGTCAACATATTGGTGTTTCAAAGCAGAGGGAAATCTGGAAGACATAACGGATGTCATGTTGTTAGTTAGTGTAATATGTTTAGTCTGTCTAGACAGTACCCATCAAACGTCACTAGATAAGCTATCATTGTCATTTAAAATGAGGTTGAGAGACAAACCACGATTATTACACTGCCAATAACAGAGGTGTTAGCTAATTGACTTGTTTGTTAGACATAGCCAGTAATATCTACATATAGTGTCCAATTCTCACAACAACAACCCCACTTTCGATATTGGTCGGAATGTATTTATCCTCGGGTATAGACCGAAGGTGTGTATTTCGACTTTTCTAGTATCGGTTTTCAGGTAACTTGATGTTACATACCCTCATGCTCTGTTGTAGTGATGCTGTTTGACAAGACAGTTTTCCCTGATTACTCAAAAGAGCATTCGATGGGTTTTCTGCATAATGTTTTGTGAGGTAGCCACCAGCATTTTCAATATCGCTCGTCAAAATTACAAATTACACTGCCTTCTAAGGGGTGATACATCTAGTAAATAACTGATAAACCAGACATAAGAATAATTTAAGACGATTACTCTATATGTCTAATATTGTTGTATGTTCTTAATTTTTCTTTGGCAAATATGTTTTTATACTTGCCTTTTCACAATAAAATTAATATTAAGTATTCCATAATCATCACCTTGAACCCTTAGTACCAATGAATATTACATTGCTGTACTTTAAAAACAAAATTACTATTAAGCGTCCATCACCTTGAACCCATAGTACCAATGATAATTACACTGCTGTACTTTTCAACAATAAATTCTGTAGGGACTGTAATTGTATTGAATTGATGACTGGTTTTTTATTTGAGCAAGTCATTATTAAGGTTGTAGCTCCCATTAGAGTGTTTTGGAGACAGATATATGTTGTGTTCTTTACCTATAAATTGACTGTAACGTCATCGCTAACATGTGTCTGGCGACAGAATGACTTTTTCGTGTAGGACAAAATTAACAAATATTGAGACAACAAACTACATTAAAAGCATAAACTGGACGATTAACACCAAGTCATAGCCATTACGTTTGATGGACGGTGTACAACGAATCTTGTTTGTACAGATCTGTGTTCGGTAAAGACATGTTTCCTGTCAAATCACAGGCAGACAAAGAGCAATGACCTTTCGTGCATAGACATAAATGTTTAACACCTTATTTCAGACAGAAATTACACGACTTGTTGATACATGATTCAACATCAGAGACGTATTTTTGTCTGCACCGAATGTATATTAATCATAACATAAATGAACTCTTCCCTCCGGTGCAGTCAAAACATCTTGGAAACGTTTGAAATTTAAATCGAGGTCATACGAACGTTTGAATTAGAGGTCAGTATACCAGTGGGTCACGTACGTACGAAGTGCCTCCAGGGTAGCTAACTTCCGGTTCACATCAGACGACATGGAGTGAATGCACGTAACGCATATCAGAATTAAGCACGTAAATTACCTATTATCTCTTTTATTATCTGGTCTTACTGCGGCTCACAGCTGATGGTACCACTGTCGTTTGACTATACGGTACAAAATCGCCTTATCTTTGAATTAAACGTATTTCTCTCTTCCTGTTGCATCTAAATGTTAGAAATCAATTTTTAAGCAATATTCCATATTAACCGATCAAAACTTGCTCTGTTTACGCAACAAAGACACATTCAAGTGTCTACCATTTAAGTTTGTAGAAAAAATAAAAGGTTGAAATAGTTGTATAAATTGGTCAGGTTCATCTTTTATCTATTTCTGTTTTACAAAGTAGAGCTGTCTGTTCAGCATTTAGCACCATTAATACACGAATATGCTCGGGCTATTACAAACCGTTCTATAAGAGCTTCGCGTGTAAGACGCTAGTTATAAACACTCTATATCCTGTTAGACAAGTTTAAAACATTACTTACACATCCCAGTATATCATTCAGGTTCTGATAAAAAAAATCAGAATCTATAAATCATAAGTATTTTTCAAGTTAACGATTCGTTAAAATATGTAGCTAAATTAAATATTACGGTCCGCAAACAGAAGTGATCACGACTTTTTCAAGGAAATGCTTCACTATGAATAGAATTTTATTCCCTCTTTTATAATATTTCAAACAATGTTATGGATTAATTGGAGAAGCTTTTATTGCTTCAGAAACACAGGCATCCATTGATAAACAATGTATTACTGAATAACTGAATGAAGTTCGTTTTTTGTGAACTTCCTTTTCGTCATGAATTAAGTGAAAACTTAGTGTGCTATAATTCATGGATTCCGATGGGAATGGTTTTGCTAGTTATCGATACATGACCATCAAGAAACGTGAACGGTTCGTATTCTTGTAAACGAAGTGGCTTGGAGTAATTCACTTGATCCTATCACATCACTTAAGTCAAGGTGCTTTAAGTATCTAACATTTGTAAAGCACTCAATGTCTTGAAAAAAAATCTGTATTTATGTTTCAATAATTATTTTACAAGTGATTTAGTGCATTTTTTGTTCCAAAATATTTGAACTGACAGTAGCAATATAATTAAGGTAATATTACAGATTCTCCACTTGTAATATTACGGTCGAGGAATGCAGAATTTTGCAGTTGTGTATCAGACATGAAGCACGCTGTTCCATATCATCAACAGTTAGGAATGGCAAAACCAACTTACGTACAGACAATCACTCGAGATAGACATCAGGCATAAATACACGTAAGTGTTATGTTCGGGTAGGGTCTAATTCAGAGTCAAGGCATTCTTAAAGCAGAAATATATTTCATCTATTTTCAAGCTATATTAACAGAAGTACATGGATATGGCTGTAATATGATAATCTTATCTATACATTTAAAATATATATAGAAGTCATATGATAAATTGTGTAAATGTAGATCATAAACCACGTCACAAATGATAGTACATCACGTGCCAATCAAACTGTAAGACTCGACAGAAAGATAGCCGGAATGAAATGCTTCGAGTGTAATGCAATGCTAATTTTGGCAACTGTGTTGGATTTTCCAGGTCAAGGTCAAAATAATCTGGATAGTTGGACTACGTGCAGTAAAGTAAGGTAAAGGTCGACTACTATATAACATGTCACTGGAGTGTTACATTCCAGAACAATTTTGGAATTGCCAAGAATCACACGCCAACACACCTTGGTAGCTATTTATCTAAATGATGGTGTTCACTTTCTTGTCCGTTGTGTAACATATCTATTTACATTAGAGCATTTTTGTGAATACATACAAAATTATTTCTTGTTATGACTGTGATATTGTAATGTGTTATAAATTTAATTTTCAATTGATTCTGTGGTATTAGAATGCTTCTCCCAGCAATGCATACTTTAAAACTTTACTTTGCATTTTAAAAAAAATAGTTTTAATTGTAAGTGTTGCTATACTACCTTTTCACCAAACGTGAATCTAAACAAGACTACATGCTCCACGTGAACTATATTTCTAGGTAAAGGGTTACGTGTACTACCTACTTAAATCTGACTCCTGTGCCTTCGTATATAGGTTAAATCAGTCTGGTTCTATTAAATATTTACTATATACTTGCCCATAATAGTCTGTTCCGTTACAGTTCTAGTCAGAGACGTGTATTTGTAGTTGGTAGTCATTCTAAGAGTCTATGTTATGGCTATCATTGTTCTATAAAAATGTAGTAATCGTCATGAGTCTTTGTTCTTTGTATCACACCATTTATAGTGACCTAGGTATCCTAGACTTTATTTCCATACCTTCGTCGCTTACATTCCTATCGATATTTTCTTTGTTTGATGATGCTTGGTACCTTGCATTGACTTGTGCCTCTGTTTTCGAATAATTTTCGATCATGTTTGTTTGCGTGCTTGCTTGATGAATCAATCACTTCGCGAACAGCCATGTTGGTTGCTTTTTCGCTGAATAGCATGCGGCAGTCCTGTTGATTCAATTTAAATCAATTAAGGATAAATAGTTATGCCCAAAAAGTATCACCCGTTGATGAAACATTGTCCTTATTTTCCAACAACTCAACTACACAAATTAATATATAAGGGATAGAGATGATTACAAAACAAGCTAAAAGCTTTTATGAATTCCTCTCCTCATGCGGCAAACTTTTAATGGGCATTAAGGAGAATGACAGTGATGTGGGTATGAAATAATATTGAAGCAAGTGTGGCAGTCTGCTATCAATAAACGTAAAGGAAATATGCAATACATGAGATAATAAGGATATCATGGAACACAGAGTAAGCATAATACAACTTCAGTTATGCCAACAAGAATACGCATTATTTATTTAAATTGTTAAGAATGTCTTATTTGAGCAGACAAAGTATTTCACATGGATGAAATTCGTTTGGTTGCATATCCGCAAAAGTTTTAGGCGAAATAGGATAAGCCGGTAGATTGTTGCTACTGATGTTTGACCGGATACAAAAGTTACATAAGACGTGCATGTTATTACAACAAAAGTATTTTCATATAAATGGCAAGTTCTTATCTCTGTGATCTATTATAGATCTGTGCAAACCCCACCCGTGCACCGACAATGTTTTATTAATCCAAACTCCTATCTGCCAAATCGTGCGGGAACAAAAGCTTTATGAGATTTAGTTCATCGAATGCTTGATATAGACATTAATCTTGATTATGGGTGCATAAAACATGGATTACGAAGCATTATTAAGTAAAAACAAACATTTAATAGCCAGCTGTTGCAGCTTAATGGCTTTTGATATGGATACCTTCATTGTATAGCGTTTTACGTCATCTCACCTTTGATCGAAGTTAATGTGTCGCGGTCTTCAAACGCCAACGGGAAATTAGTTATATAACTCTTTTTGTCAGCGTGATACACACATGTCCTACAAAAATCTGATTAGCGATCATCAACGTCAGTCCTGATGCAATGTTAAAACCATGGTTCATTAAAAAAATGAAATATTTTTATCAAAATAATGATAGAAACAAATGAAGTAGACAATAGTAAACTAATAAAACGAAATTATGTTCTGATCCTTGTTGTGATACTGTTTATTCAATATTGTGTTTCTTGTTTTCTAATCACGTCAACACATTTCACGACACGTGACAAAGGTAGTGTTTGATTTCTTTGGTCTTTATTCTACCGAAATAGACAAATCATAAATATTGTGCTTTGTATTTCATTTTTAAGCTCTTTAAATGATTCGCTCTGGTATGTTGTTCTGTTTTCATAAAGTTCTAGTCAATTCTTTCATGATAAGGCTGTTACCATGCAACTCGATATCAAAACAATGAGGATAAAAGTTCATTGCTACTTCATGATCATTTTATGTCGTCAACAGTTGCTATTCCAAGAATTTATGTCCCAAACATGATACGAAATAGCAATTTATTTCATATAGACAGATCTAACACGATTTACGGCACATGACAAAGGATGGCTCCGGTATGTCATGTCCACATTGATTCTAACCTGACGTTCTGGAAACCAGATCATCACTAGATAGAGCCACACAGATGTCCATCTTATCTTACACATCTGGTCGCGCGGCGTTCACGCGCTAGTGTTCTGCACGTGAGATATGTTTCATATGATGGGTAGGGGAAATGGGAGGGGATAAGGAGCGGCTTAAATGAGAATTTCTGTCAAAAGTAAACAGAATCTGCCGAAACATGACACGCAGACACAATCAGTTTGGAGATATGCAAACTTCCAAATTCTATGATGCGAAGATAGCCCTACACCGCAAGTATGCCAGGGATAGGGTTTGTGTCAAAGGACAGATAAATCGACTCCCTGAGTGGAACAGATGCGTTCAACACTTTTAGAGTAGCTAATTCAATATATCTGACAAATCTAGTAGATACCATTAGGGCCTCTTATGTTTTATATGTGTACATTTCGGTAGTCGTATCCGTAAAGAGACGAGGTCATTTGGCAAAGGACGCCAGGCATGACAAGTGCTGAGTGAAGTAAGACATCAGCTGTCGGTGGTAGGAAACTTATAAGGAAGATTTCTCTTGGGTCAATCAGTCCAGTAACGGCAGTTTTCCTACGTTTAAATAAAGAACACCACAAATGCTTCATACTCTGAATTAGTTTGACTGTTTAAGGAGAAACTTTGGTTACTGTTTTATATTGGTGAACTAAAACTCAAGCTGAGATTTATGCTGATATATTTTGGCGAATTTAAGCTTTGTCAATATAACCTTGGCCAAACATTTTTTCCCTAAACGGTAGCATTATTACATCACTGACTTCGATAGGGAATTTATTTTCATTGAATTCGTGGCTACTCTTAATCCAGGAATATATATGTCCACGAACTGTTAAATAGGTATAAGTAGATCTATTTAGGATGTGTTACCAGGAAAGAGTTATTTTCTTTAAATCAGGAAAAATTAGCAAATTAAAAATTTATGACCATGTAAAATATCATGTAAATGACATATGTTATTAAATATGTTTCTGAAGTTAAACATTATGATTATGATATTTAATCATATCACTTTTAATTCAATATTAAAGCTTGTTTTAAATCCATATTTATTGAAGTGAGTGTTAGCATGGAGTGTTATAAAACTCAGAAGAAAAAGAAAAACTAAAGTAGTTTTGTTATTTTATAACTCGAAGGTGCAGTTTGTTGTTATAAAGCCCGAAGCTGTAGTTTTATAGTTTTCACACCCAATGTGTAGTTCTGTTATTTGCAAACCCGCAGGTGCAATTTTGTAGTTTTAAAACCCATAAGGTGCAAGTTGCCAGCAGTAATGCCCCTGACTTAGTAACGGTACATATTGACACTGGCCCCTAGTGGCGACGATAGATATGTCTACAGCTCTAGAAATAGTTGACTGCACGGTATGCACTTCGTTATCGCGAAAGACGGTGATGACAAGAGAAGATGAAGCTGTAGCATCTCGAATCACACCAGCCAGCTTTGGCGCCCGAGATGAGATTGGAGGGGAAGTGGGATACCGACTCTACCATCAAGACAAATTTCAAATCGCAACACGAAATACCAATTATACGAACATAACCATATATTTACAAAATCAATCCGTCTAGACCGGTCAATGATCAGATATACGCTCTGCTATCAGGCTGCAGATGTTTCCATCACGTACACAGTAAATATACATAAAGCCATGTCTGATTGACTTTGACTAAGAGTAAATAGCGTCTACATCGATGTTAACACAACTTGATCTCTGGATTCCTTACAGGTAGTAAAATGAAATTGTATAAACGCAATAATGCTTCAGATTTTGCTTTTGTTAAAGATCTACCTAAAGAAATTCCTATTTACCACCCACAAACACAAGAAACGTATTCCCGTGAACCGAAGATTTAATATTTTCTTATGGATTACAAACATATGTTCACTTTAAATCTATATTAAAACTCATCATGAGAAGCCAAATACATCTATATGAATAATACATATTTAGATGTAAAACCTCGCATTAGTCCTTTCCCAATCTAAATTATGCAAAACACGTGTCAACCGTCCGAGGAGAATTCCATTTCGTTGCGTAACTATACACCTCATGGTTTATTCACCTTTAAATGTCATTTCCATTGTCAAGAATAAAATGTAATATGACAAATTTTCCGAGATGTAGTCAATTTTAGAGAGACAGGAAAAAGTATCATTTAGCTTGCAGAAAATTACGAATACATTTGGTAACACATGCAGACAACCTAGCAAAGGTTGAATTACATAATCCATACATACGCCATTTCTGTCTGCACTACTGCTGCAGGTTGAGCATAAATCTACAACAGCAGACGACACCTAAAGGTCAAATCAAGAGGTTAAATCTTTATACTTCCGTCTAGCCGGTAGAGGTGTTAAATATGGCAGAAAACGCGACAACCTCGCCGTTTCCCTTAATAGACTTTGCATATGCTCCGTGTATTTTGCAGAGTACTATAAACCATTCCTTAATAGATTTGACAATCCGCTTGTATCGCTCTGTCTTCTCTAATTCTGCACTGAAATGAATTCTTAGACCGAGCAGATAGCTTCAATACGTCACTATCAAACAATGCAACAGATTTGAAAGAAATTGCTTTTCTAAAACGCCAGAAAGGGAGTATCACAATCTTCCTTAATTATGCTTACAATCTGTGATGGCATTTATAATAAAGCCCTTGCTAGAACGAATTTAGACTTAAAACGGAACGTACAATAAAGTGACTTTAATGGTGCTATCGGCTATATTTAGGTTCAAGCTAAACATATGTGTTTATTTGTAAGAGTTTGTATGAACGAGACCATTCTATCTCGTGTTGGTCACAGCTATAGATTCCATGCCGTTTACAGTTCATTGGGTTCTGATCTAGAGTACAAGTTCTACGTCAGCTATCACGTTATGTCACAAACGATGTACCAGTCATATACCAGATTGCCTTGGCGACACATTTCTCATATCCTTTGTGGTTACCAAGGTGATTACAGCATTAGAGAGGAAAGCAAGTCATTCGGTGTAGATCACCAAACGCCCCATTAATCTGTTTTAGCATGCAAGAAAAGTACGCAAGAATATTCTATAGGCTTAAAATTCCTGCTGCCTAAACCTAAATTTGCTGAGTTCTGAGCTGAAATGTATATGACTTCTAAAGTAATTTAATGAAATAACTTATGCCATTTCTTTCTTTCATTTTTTTTTTTTTTTTTTTTGTAATTTATTACGTTATTATTTTTTCATGTATTATTGTTTGACCAATTGTAAATATATAGTATATCTATCTTTGTCTGTCCAACCGAGTAAAGTAAATGTAAAATATCATTGTTTTAATTTCAGAAGGTTTCAAAGACAAGTTACAAACAAGATGATCAATGCATCCGGGTACCAGCAAAGAAATCAATACCATTGGGGTCAAACTACAAAGGTCATCAAATTTATTAGGAATCAAATTGCAACGAAAACAATAGCATAGGGGTAAGCGATCAAAAGGTCAACAAGTAGTATCAACATTAAAACAATTTTTACAGACGAGTAAAAAGGTCATGACCGTGATTAATCTAACACCAATATGTTGTGGATATAAAAAAAGCACTATAAACGCGTATTAAAACCACTGGTGAGGATCTAACAGAAACTACTTTTGATTTCGTGTGTAATCAGTATTTACCGAGCCACTTATTTTATGTCAACTTTTTTTTAATTGTGGATCACCATGTCAATAAATGATAATGTTTGAATCATGTTTTTATCTATATAATGAATCTAGATTCATCATTTTTATAGTCATCTCGATTGTAACTCACAATTTCACAATTTCCAGAATAGACACAGAACGTCAGGTCTAGGTTATGAACAAAACCATAGGTCTAGACTAGGCACAAAACGTCAGGTCTATGCTAAGGTGCAGATCTCTAGGTCGATAATAGGCCCAGAACGTCAAGTCTAGGCTAAGAACAAAACTATAGGTCTAGATTAGGCACAGAACATCAGGTCTATGCTAGGTGCAGACCTCTAGGTCGATAACAGGCCCAGAACGTCAGATCTAGGATAGGAACAGAACTATAGGTCTAGACTAGGCACAGAACATCAGGTCTATGCTAGACGCAGACCTCTAGGTCCATAATAGGTCCAGAACGTCAGATCTAGGCTAGGAACAGAACTAAAGGTCTTGACTAGACACAGAACGTCAGGTCCAGGCTAGGCGCAGACCTCTAGGTCCATAATAGGTCCAGAACGTCAGATCTAGGCTAGGAACAGACCATTAGGTCTAGACTAGGCACAGAACGTCAGGTATAGACTAAGAACTGATCCATAGGTCTAGACTAGGCACAGAACAGGCGACATGGAATAACAGGTCTGGACTCAACATTTTAAGGCTAAACAAGTTGGTAAGGCATGTAATGAAGTCGTGGATCTAAGTTTGACATGAAATAAGTAGGTTTATGCTTACATAAGCAGCACCATATAGAAGATTACTATTGTTTATCATAAAGGAGAATGTCTATGCTACAATGACGACAATGATCATTAAGCTTTGATTAGTCCAACAACATGTTAAAGTTCGTCATGAAATAATCTTGATTAGAATGATTAAATGTTGCACGTATAACTTCGGAAGATTTTACATGTGCTGTAAAATAAGATATTTTCACGTGACTCGTGTGTGTTATTATTCTTTTTCCTCCAAAAAAGATTTTTTTCATAGACACTTGCTTTCGTGACTAAACAGTTCGTGAACATATGAATGTATTGATTGAGGCAACCCGCGAAAATAAAGAAAATAAAACAACACCGAAATTAATGACTTCACGGTAATCTAAAACTCATATTCCCTCCTAACGTTCCGGCATCTGACACCTCAGGCTTGCGTATAAAATACATGAATGGAAATTGTCCAATTCATTTTAAACAATAATAAAAGTTGTCAGATGACACATTAATGTTATATTATGTAACCACTGGTTTGCATAATGACACACTGAATGCAGTCTCATACCTTCAAGTGCATATAACAGCAGCTGACCAATCAAAATGCAGTATACAATTGTTTCCGGGATTGATGGTTAACATTGCCCCATAGATGACAGTTCGGAATTTGTCCGAGTTGACCTTAACTTTACTGTACACGTATTAATATTGCTATATATAGAATGTGCGATTAACTTAATTTGGTCTGTAATAAGCTAAGAATTTATTAATTATTAAAATCGTGCTGTGTATATGGCGCGTTAACATAATAGAAGACATTTTATCGTTTCGGACTTTTTAATGTATAGTTTTATACCATGACTGGTGAAATACGGTGTCATTTAGATAACTACCACCTGTTGATATGACTGTGATATGTAAGCATTTCTCTTATTATGTGTATTGAAGATGAAAAAGCTGATTGCTGAGTTTTTCTATATGAGTCATTTGGTTGGAATCTTGCATTTACTTATCATAAAGATAAACTCATGATAACTCCCAGATAATATTTATTAAAACATTTCCGGTTAATCTCTTAATGGTTATTCCCTGTCTTTTGAAGAATTTTCCGCGAAACACGCTCCATAGCCTTTTTCGATAGCGTTTTTATTTCACTAAAACGTGGAGTCAAATGAACATAGACGTTATAAATCGTGTAGAATTAAAAACGGTTTTGATTATTATGCACAGTTGTTGGTAAACGTAAGCATCTGTAGAAAGCTGGTTAAGTTATAAACCCATGTGACATAATGTATGAATCACAATGATTCATTATCTCTTTATTTCAATTATTTAAATCATTTAATAAATTATTGTTTTTGATTCATTATATGTAAATTAATGAGTGTAATTGCTCACGGCATGGCATCAGAGGAACGGGCTCCATATGTATTTTCGATAAGTTAGACCCTGATTAAGATTAACGAGTCCTAAAATAACGGTAGAAATGTAGAGTGCAATTTAATTCATTGTTTCGATTTACTATAGATGTCATTCACCTGTGTGTCTTTTTTGCAATCTTCGAGATTGCAGGTGGTAGATATTACTGGTAGGCTTTTAAGTCCCACAGGTTTGCCGTAACATTCACTCCTAATACTACTTCATTGAAAAGGTGACACGTTTCAGAATATACTCGTGTAATTTTGAAATCATTCCATATTGAAAATTGTGCACCTCACCATTTAGTTTTTATTTTTATTAAAATTAATCAAGATCTTTCTCTAACGGCTCCTAGGCTTCAGCATTTCTGGCACTTAGTATCACTGACAAGTCCTAAAAGGACGAAACAGCGGTATGATGCAAATAAAATTATTAATTTGTATTGACATGTATTAAATATCATCCAATAAGGGGTCAAATTAATGAAACACCAGCCGTTATTCAGACTACCTGCAGTATTAGAGTGCTATTAGGACGACGCTGATATGCTGGCGATTTTCAAAGCTCGCAAATATAGTTATCAATCGCTGAATGTGTTTGAAGGTTTTCGCGAAATATGTATACCAAACTGATTAATATCAGTGCAGATAGTGCATATCAGGAAAGAAAGGTAATTTGCAGTTGTTAATGTGTTTCTTAAAACGACTTTAAGAGTGAATTTTTACTATTAGTTGCTAATTCGTGCGATAATAGTTTTCAATGGACGCTGGATAGAGGTTTCATCGTCCACATCGACTAGACTTCAATTAAGCAGACATTAAAGAAAATGAACGTGTTTTAATTAACACTCAGGATTCCTGACACGTCGCTTGATGAGATATAAAATGTGATTATATATAAATGTACTTACCAAGTTTCATCATCTTTGCACGTGCATTTCTACTTTACCACCTGACACCTTTTAATTTCACCGATAATTTAAGCAAAACACAATATAATATTTTTTCAGTTTAGCTGAATAGATAAATTATCTTTCTTGATTTATCTATAATTTATGTTTCTTTAACTAGGGACCACACTCGTCATACTACCTTTATTTCTATTAAATGCTATCAATGTGTGTGATCCATTTCTATGACATTGATTTATGCTCGTATTGAAAAAATCGTTTCACGGTGCTTTACCTACTGAAAAAAGCATATATGACGATATTTCACAAAGCTGTCTTCTTGTTTATATTACTTTTAATATATATAAATAAAGCAGAAATATCCATTAGTGGCCATTATTTATATGAAAGAGAAGTTAATATCATTATAAATTTATTTCGTGTATAGAATAGCTCAGACACGACTGCATTTTTACGTGAATAGAAATGTAATCAGCGCACGGATAAATATATACGTAATATCTTCTAATACGGCATCGAGAGTAAACAACATCGTGCATTGCATGCCAATAGGGCAACACGTGCATTTAGATAAGGTACAATCACGTGATCTTTGTATTTATGTGCTGATATCATAAAAATAATGTAACACCTGTATTTTAATGGTCTATAGTGCATTTTGGTCACATTTTTACGTAGTATGTCTGACGCTCCACAGTTAAGGTACACCGATAACATCAAACCACGATCGGGAAGAAACAATGATTCAATACAAAACAAGAAACATAGCAGCGACAGTGAAATAATGAAAATAACAAAGAAAAGAAACCGAGAGACGGACGGACAAATGGAGGACAGACAAACGTACAGTCGGAAAACACTGTTTCGTTTGTTATAAAGGAATATTTGTCGAACAAGTAGAAAGCTACAAAAACAAAAAAAAACAAGCAGTCTGGAATAAAAAAGAAACATGTTATTTTTAACACAGATTGCGATTATCCTTGAGAAAATGGCAAAACACGTGCAACAGACAGGGAATCCCAGATAAACTTCTGGTCACGCTGACAAAGAGTCGATAACACTATCGAAAACACCATAGAAACAAATAAACAATGGGTGAAACAGACAAAGTACGTCTATGAGGCATACATCGATTGTCCTTGAGACTAACAAATAATGTCTTGATGTAGGGTTCGACCTAGCATTACAATAGGTGGAGCGCAAGACAAATGGGAATCATTTGCACGCCTATCAATTATGCAACCAGAAAGCTAAAACCCAAGTACGTCTATTAACGTAGACAATGGGTAACGAAGGGCGATCCATGACAGTTTCGGAAACCATGAACATGGACAAAAAATGTCCTTGAGACAGAGAGTGGGGCCCCGTGTTGATACATGTATCTACTCTCTCGCTATCCTCATGGTGTCATATCAAAACGTAAATCATTTTTCCCGTGGATATCATTCATTATTTACATCACCATATCGTATATCTGAATTGATGTCAAAACCTAGTCATTCATAAAATGAGAAGGTCACAGGAGGTTTAACATGCATGAAACACATAGAGTAATCGACAGTACTAAAGCGAATGAATGATTGTTAGATTTGTGCGCAACAAAGCGTGATTCCACTTAGAGTCAATTGTAGTCCCATTAACAATTAAACGATGTATATATACAGCTATATGTTTCTGTAATGCTAAATTGACGCCTAAGGTGATACGGGATTTCAACATCTCCATGGTAATTACAAACGTAAAGATTGGTGGGTCTTTTTTCCAGATACATCAGACGACTACAGGTACTTAAGAATTGTTCACAATATATGTGTTTTTAAGTATGCTTCTGCATAGCCAGTGTCTACATATTTTTCATTGCAGAGGCTGCTACTAATAATCGATTTTTTTTGTTGATATCATTTATCATCGTATGTGTCTGTTTTATTGAAGGTTAATGATAAGGAAAGGCAAAAACACTTAAACAAAGTATCTCTCTGTGTTAACAAAGGAGCATACGCACACGTGAAGATTAACCTAGATTCAACATTAATACATAGATAATAGCTTACTCCCATCCCTAGACCCCCTCACCTACCTCCCCCTCCGCCAATGAAAATGAGGAAGAAGAATCCTAAATCCTGATTGAAACATTTGAAACACGACAAGGAAAACATGCAGTTAAAAATAACCCAAAATTCCAGAAAAACCATTCCTCTGTCATAACTTTCATTATATCATCATACCGACGATGTTTATTATCATATGACCACAAATATAACAGACAATTTGTTTGTCGTAAACATCATTATTTACAGGTGACTTTCATGTTCAGGTAAAAACACCAAGGTGACGTCATAATCGTTCCTCCACGTGCCTGGTTCTGTATACTCGTGTGTCATGCACTGGCTACTGACAGGTAGAAAAAATAAATAAAACCTAATTAATTTCTGTCAGTTTGTGAGAAATTATATTCTTATATACAGTTGAAAAATTATTTACAGTTGTTTTGTTTATACAGGAAATAACTTGCCGAATGACGTATATAGTAAAAGATATTCCCTGGAGGTAAGTTGTCGGTAACATTTTATCCACATGTATATTATGTATAATGAACTTGTAAATTCCATGCCAATTAGAATTGCGTTATTGCTTACAGCAAAATGTTATTATATCAAGGCATGAAAAACATTTAAAATCATTCAAAGTATTTCGTGTAAAAAGTTGGTAGATGTCATCGGACCTGTCCAAAACCGTCTTGTTTAATATTATGACCATTCTAAAAGTTTATCAACTTTGTACCGGTTCAGACTTGCCCTACGCGTCCTGAAGCGATGATCCGAGGTGTCTGGTTCGAATTACTTTACCCCTAGCAGCTTTTTTTTCCAGCGAGCTGACAGGCGGACTAGTCTGTTCTGTCTTGGTCATGTCCTTGAGCAAGAACTTTACCCCCAATTACTGTGTTAGCGTGCGACAGACCTCTCGTGTGTTGTTCATTGAGGTAAGCACAATACATTATCATCAGACACCGCCTTTAAGTGATCATGGTTGTAAATGGGGCGTTAACCTCAACAAACAACTAACTTTGTGAAGAATCAAAGCATGTATTTACACTGGTTTTATACCTAGTAACTTCTCTCCTGAGCCATCATTACTCAAGAAAATGTAGATTTTCGTGCACCTCATATATCTTTATTGATTTTGAAGGTACGATTAAAGTATACTATCATTGTTCTGTTTCCTTGCAACAACCACGCTCATCAAAAGATTATGTCTGGAGTACTTATGTAATCTGAAAAAGAGAGCGCGGGGAGCAACACGCCAACAGATACATCCAAAATATGACAAAACGCCTAATACCCGACCCTGGTCCTACAAACTTTACAGCGGGACGAAAAGAATATGTTCTTCTCGAAACTCGCAAAAAAAATTTCTAAAATCAGATACGGCTTCAAAAACTAACAAACTAAAACTTATAAATACAAGGTTTATGTAATATTTTAATACTGTCTCTGACTGACACACACATAATGAAATGATGATATTTTGGGAAATCCCCTTCTCCCTCCTCCCTCCTCCCCCTCCCCCTAGTCCTCTCCGACATCTTCCACCCCCTCACCACAAACCAATAACATTAAACATTGGATCGCTGTTGAATGTTTGGAATGCAGATTTTGATAAAGTTTATCACTGAGAATTGCTTGTGTTAACTTCCGGTGATAGGTTTACTATAGTGTATACAGATGCCATCCCAATGCTTGCCCCGGGGGTGAATCCCGCGGTTGTCTGGCATAATTATCGCCTGGGTAATGAGCAAAGCAATGCAGGAAAATGTCCCTCCACGATCGTTTAATCTTCGCTATGACGTCAGAGGGACGGAGGGGATTTAACTATCACAGCTACTACATTTGTTAGTATTTACAGCTAAAAAACACATCATCTCTTTTATTCTATATGATAAAAGAACGGAAAATATTATTTCTTTAATCAAAAACTACTGTGAAATCGTCTTTAAGTCGAGATTATTTACAGAGAAATCATTTTGAAATTATAATTAATTTTCTTTTCGTTTGTTTTGATTGAGCTAACCAGACAAAATGAATTTACGCTGAGGAGGAATTTGAGCAGTTCAGTACGGGTGTTCTGACGTAAATGTCTTAATTACACAACGAGATGTCTGCTTCAGCATTCTCCCTTTCATCTCTCTTTGATAAGCAATATTACGGCATGTGTGTGCATTCCTCTCACTAAGTCGACGGTGTAAATTCTTGAACATTAAGATTGGCAACTCATTTCAGACGGCAAATTCGTGACGCGCGGCTCAATAGCATATTCTAACAATCTCTTTTATGATTTTTGCGGAATGCATTCCCAATGACACCAAATATGGCGTTCTTGTCACTTGAGTGAATAACACGATGAAAAACGTCTCTCATATTTTTTAAAACAAACAATGAACTCATATTACGTAAGCTGTATGCCGTTTTTTTTATTGAAAATCGATCGTTTGAAGATTTAACTGATAGACTGTCCTACTGGCCTTTGGTTTATGCGTCTAGGTGTCGCCACCTGTCTGGTCTGTGGTCACGACCTCGTTATACCTCCAGGAATCCTCTCGAGAAACGTCTAGACATTTCAGGTGATAAAGTGTGAGGGAAAAAAACGTTTTCATCACAGATGCAGACATAAAGTATAGACTTTCCCTAATGCTAGCGAGAAAACCCAATAAAAGACTGCTTCCTGAAAGCATTGTCACTGGTGATATTATATATAACCGCTTTTTCGTAAAACCCTCGGGGTGAGAGGTTATCAATTATAGTTATATGCTACCTGAAGATGATTCTTTCATCTCATTTCTGAAAGTAGTTCACATTTTTTAACAAATGAATTATGTGTTTTAATTTGTTAATTTAACATCTTCAGAACCCATATAAAGCTCTGAAAAGATGGAATGTTCCGTGAAAATATTTTTAAAAATCACTCTCATTTTTTTAATAATTTAGTTATTGTTTCTCGAATGTTTTTTTCGGGTTACGCATGAGTTCAATCAGTAGAACATCGTATTAAAGCAATTGATCTGTGGAAAAACCATCACTTCAAAATTACCCTGGTTGTTCTAACGGACGATCAGTCCAGAAGACAAACAAATAGGCACTTTTACAAATTGCCTGAAAGTTCCCTTGTCTCTTGTTGTAAAGAAAAATGCTAAGACAAGTTTTATTTTCTTCTTCACCTTTCTCCGAACAGGAGGAATATAAATTGTATTTAGTACGGATATCCGCCTACTAACAGACAGGAATCAAATTTAAAGACATTCATATATTTTGAAACTAAAGAAAATGATACTAGTAATGGACTTCGTTATTTTCAAATTTGACTGACATAATCAAATGTGAATTTCCATTCACATCACGTAATGGATCTCGTATAAATATCCTTGACGTGTTACAGAAATGCTATTAAAACCTCTCCAGGCAGTTAGACTTCCATACGTATTTTCTTCTATTTGTATCGACGTGGAGGCGCTGGTACTTGACATTTTCAGGAGATAATTTCAGCTATTATGAATGAATGGCTTACGAGAAGATTAGGCTTGTGAGTGTGGAAATACCAGAGTTCAACTTTGCACAATGTGCAATCCTAATTCAATTGAATTGCTGTTGTGCGTGGTAGCCACTGTATGTATCAGCTTACATTGATGCTGAAATGTCGCTGCTTAGTTACGTGGTGCCAAGCCTACACGTATCGAATGTAGGCTTATCCAGACTAATCCCCATCCTGTCCAAATATAGAGGATCTTGTATAATTTTACATTTCCTACGAAATCTATAAAACGAGTACATGATTTTCTTTATGAATTTGAAACGAAAGTAATGTTCTGTTTATCACATAAATTTGACATCTTTCAGTCTTTGTGACAACAATATTATATTAGACTGATGTAAAATTGGTGGTATTTTTGCTTAATTTAGACCTCTGTCTTTGGAGTTATCAGGATATTACATCACAACTGAGCCCATGGAATCCAGTAGCCAATCACAGATGTGCTAAATGTTATATATATATATATGGTCGCCATCCATAACACAACTTCCATGTTATCAATGTAATAATACCAATTACATTTTGGTTATTACACACATGTAATATGACCTAGCGATTCTGCCCTTGGCTGAAGGTTCCCATTTTTCCATTGTGTGGTCATCAACTTGATAAAATCGTTTTTATGAATGTTTGGACAAGCAGTACATTTATCTGATAAACAGAATCTTTCATTCGTTTCCATTTTTTTTTTTGTCTTCGGAAGGCCACTAAAGGAAAAAAGTCTTCGACTCGTTTCCAGAACTTTATATGACTGTAGACTGGTGTAAAATTTTCTATTTACATAAGAGGTGGAACACTTCTCTTTAAGCATTATGGACTATTTAGACAGGTTCCTATTATTCATTAGTATCTTTAACGAAAATTGGTACTTTTCCTTTGGTTGTTGACCTTTGCAAACTTTTATTACGTCATTCAAGTCAGAAAATGTCACGAGACAGCTCCTCTACAGACGGAATCTATTACAGCGACCCAAATTAAGTATTCAATTAATTTAAAAGATATTTTGAGAGTACAAAGATGTGTGTCTCTTGTTGAATTATAGATCTAGTCACCACATGTCAAATGATTTGTTATTTTCAGTACTATTCTGACCTTTATGTATAACCATTAATAGGAAAATTCGATTACTTTTACACACATTTGCATCAGACATGAAAGTTTATCACACAAAATGTCAATAACTATTACTAGTAGTTGTAACTTTACATTAAATATGTCAGTGACATTATGTCTAAATTGTTTTTTTTACATTTGCCTAATCACTTACTAGTATGTTGATTAATGAATTAGTTAATTTAGTTACACAAAAAAGGGAAACATAACTTTTTTTCCTTTGCAAATCTACCTAAAGTTAGAGAGTTATATTAAAACCATGTAGTTTCTAATACTGAATAACTGTAAGTATGTTTTACATCAAAACAAAATATCTCCGTGCCAACACAAAACACAAGGAAAATAAGACCATGTGTACCGGGGTCATAAATATTCTACTTCATCGACGACACCCGCTGTGTAAATATTGACCATCCCTGATAAGTGATGTCATGTTCCCAAACGGAGAGCATGGTAAACAAGTCCTTTCCTCTCACACATGTAGATTATGGCATCAAAGCAAAATTTAGAATCTGCAGGAGCAGCGCATTTAACAAAAGCTTATATCATGAACGATCTATGGAGTTCTGAGGCGTTTTATTTTCGTTATCCTCCAAAACCGGTAAAAATTGTTTTGTGTTATTGTAGTGTAAGTTCACCACGAAAATATATGATTTCACAGCTTTTTGCGGCTAATTACTATAACCATAAACATTTCGAGCGTTTCGTAGAAAAAAAAATATTCATTAGCAGAATAAAGATTAAAATTTATGTCTTTTTTGTTTCGTGATACAGAAGACATGTGAGAATAATTTCCAAACTAAATCAATTTGAGCTTGTCACCGTGCTGTGAACATTTAGAAGTCTAGACAGGGAGTAGTTCTTTAATTGAGTAATAAGGAAAATTGAATTAGTCGTCTTCAACATAATATAGACATGATTGGTTTCATCGTATGATAGAAACAAAATACCACTGAACTAACTTACAAAGACTTCCACGTCGGTCATGTGAAGATGACTTGAATCATGTTTATTTTGAAAATTCTGTAAGATGTTGGTTGTCAGGGAAGATTGCATCATTGGTTGTCGTTCTTGAGACTAATGATTTGTTCATAACGTATACATCTATCTACACTTTTGATATTTCTGTTCTGAATATGAATATCAATCATCTACGTGTTTGCTTAATAAAATAACTTTCCCATGTTTGCCAAACACGCTTCGTTTGTGTTGGATTCCGAAATTTCACGAGAATCCTTATCAATTACCTTTCGTTTGTAACCATTTTTTTCAATCCCCTTATTG